CGGCAGCCAAGAAGGCTGTGAACAGCGTGGACTCTACCGCAGGCGGCGCGTTGCAGGTTTCTGTTTCTCCTTCAGCTGTCCCGTCTGCATCAGAGACTTTCCCTCCGTCAGCTATAATGCTGAAGCAGAGTTTTATCGAGAAACTGTCAGCAGCTGTCTGGAAAAATCTCGCTAACCCAGATGCAAACACTGGGACTGATAAAATTAACTTTACCTATCTTTTGACACGTTCAATTCAGGCATGCAAGACAAATCCTGAATATATTTATGTTCCTCTGAAAGAAATCGCCCCTGCTGACCTCCCCAAGAGCAAGAAGCTCCTAACGGATGGCTTCGCTTGTGAAGTGCGATGTCAGAATGTCTACCTGGCCACCGGTTACGCCGGCAGCAAAAACGGATCCAGGGATCGAGCCGCGGAGCAGGCGGTCAAGCTGCTGAAGAAATCCGTGGAAGTTCGAGTGGTTCAGCGGAAGTTCAAGCACACCTATCACGAGGACTTGGTGGTGTGCGAGGCGGGCGTGACTCGCCCAGAGTTCCCTCCTGCTCTCAAACCTCACGAGGAGTTTGTAGTTGCCAACAGGGACTGTGTCCCGATGCAGCCTGGTACTGAATCCGTGAAAGGTTCCACTAACACCAACAAACACTGGACTAGTTTTGTCCTCACAGAGAATGCCAGTGACGCAATAGGAATACTCAACAATTCTGCCTCATATAACAAAATGTCTGTTGAATATAAATATGAATTAATGCCCAACCGCTCGTGGCGTTGTCAGGTGTATCTGCAAGACCACTGCCTCGCCGAGGGATTCGGCACCAAAAAGACCAGCAAGCACGCGGCGGCTGAGGAGGCATTGAAAATTCTGCAGAAGATGCAGTCGAATATAGCGGCCATCAAAGTGACCCAGGTTCAGAAAGTGGGGTGCTCCTCACGGGGCTCCGGGCGGAAGAAGGACCTGAAGGACCTCGTGGTTTATGAGAACTCCAGTAATCCGGTGTGTACGCTGAATGACACCGCCCAGTTCAACAAGATGACGGTGGAGTATGTCTTTGAAAGGATGACTGGCATGCGATGGAAATGCAAGGTGCTGCTTGAAGATGAATTCATCGCAGAAGCAGTTGGAGTGAAGAAATCTGTCAAGCATGAGGCAGCAGAGGAAGCCGTGAAAATCCTCAAAAAGACTCAGCCAACTGTTGTTAATAACTTGAAGAAAGGCACCGTCGAAGACGTCATCTCCAGAAATGAGATTCGGGGTCGATCGGCAGAAGAGGCATTCAAACAGAAGATCAAAGAAGACAACATCGGGAATCAAATTTTAAGAAAGATGGGCTGGAAAGGCGGCGGCCTCGGGAAAGATGGCGAAGGAATTAGAGAGCCTATTTCGGTGAAGGAGCAGTTTAAAAGGGAAGGACTGGGGCTTGATGTAGAAAGGGTGAACAAAATTGCTAAAAGAGATATTGAAGAGATCATTCGAAACTATGCACGCTCAGAAAGTCACATTGACTTGACTTTCTCTAGAGAACTGACTATGGACGAGCGGAAGCAGATACATCAGATCGCCCAAAAATATGGTCTTAAAAGCAAATCTCATGGGCAGGGGCATAACAGGTACTTGGTGGTGAGCAGGAAGCGGCGCAAGGAAGATCTGTTAGACCAGCTGAAGCAAGAAGGCCAGGTTGGGCACTACGAGCTGATTATGCCTCAGACAAACTGAGGTTAGGTGTCCCATTTTACCGGAGACTTGAGCTTCCCAGATACTCGATGACAAGACAGAGATGCTGCATTTTTCTTGCGTGGGTTATATTAACGTTAAAGTCTTCTACTTCGTTAATATAATTTCTCAAATGTGGGTAGCCGTTTAGAACTGACCGAGTTCTGTTCAAGTAAATTAGCACAACCCAAAAGCAGTAGTGCTGTTACTGTATGTGTCTTTGATATTACTTGTTCCTTCACATTTTAATAGTTTTGTAATAGCAAAAACACATGTCCAGCAAGAAGGAATTTGACATCATTTAAAAGAATAGTTCCCTTATTCTTCTTGATCAAGGAAGGAAAAAAAAAAACACGCCTTTTTTTTAAAAAAAATAAATAAAATAATAAAAAGCAAAGGAAATGCAGTCTGGGGGAATAGACCAGTATGTAAAGTTGGTATTAATGACAATAAAATTTTATTTCTGGAAAAAAAACAGGATTTGTCAGTTTGTATTAAAAAAAAAAAGTGTGAAAACTGTGTTTATTCTTGAGAAATACATATAGCAGGGTCTTGTCTCCGCTGTGTGTGGATGTCTGTAGAGCGACCAGTTTACCAGTACAGTTCTGGTCACAGATTGCTGCCTTGAGTCTCCGGTGCTGAGCACTACTGGAGGCACCTCAGTCGTCACTGTGTCGTCTGAGCTGACGCCAGGGCGGTTTTACCTTGGAGCGCTGCTTGACATGTGCAAATACCACGGGGAAGTGTGAAATACAAGAACTGGAGGTAACCGCAGAGCCCACGCTCAAACATGCTCGTGGGGACTGTTATATACTTTTTTTTTTTTTTTTTTTTTTTTTTACTTTGCATGTAAGCTCTTTAATCCTGAGCAAAATCAAATCTGTGCCCGGTTATGTCCCTGCTCCGTGATGTACCTGTGCTCACGTGTGCCGACTCACAAGTAAACCTCTGGCGTTGCGCTGACGTTGGCGCGTGCGGCATCTCTCCAGAACAGGCACGCGCTGCCCGGGGGCCGGAGCGGTTCTCTCCTCACCGGGGAAGCAGACACCGATCTCTGCCTGTGCCGGTCTGCTGGCGGTACCAGGACACGGTGCTCTGGGAGCTCCGGGGAATCGCTGGCTTCGTGCTTGGAAAACGTAGAGGTTAGGAGTTGACCTTGGAAGAGCCAAGAGTGAGACGTGCCTAGAGACACCGGGGGGTTTTCTGTCACCAAGTAGGGCCCACTGATGATTCGTCAGCGCAAGGCCAGGCCTCATGAAATATTTGTTGTCTGTTGCCTTGTGTCTCAGCTATAGCTTTTGGGGTTCTGCTGCCTTTTACATCATCCTCTACCTTTTTTCCCACTTCCTGTTCTGTTTTTCACTCTCAGCGCTGAGGAGAGGGCGACTGACCTCTGCAGATGAAGCAGCACATCCTGGTGAGGTGCAGTTAGCGGCATTTTCATCCCCACTGTGTGAAAAGGAAGAGGCTGCCCTGGCAGGTAAGGCTGGCTCGGGAAGAAGAGTGTGAGCGGTCCCTCCTCTCTCTGCAGCACAGCTGCTGCTAGCTTGGCCCTCTCAAAGAAGAACATGCTGCTGCTGTCTTTGTAGAAAAATAACCTGGCAGTTAATTCTGAAAGTATGGGGGGGGTGTTGGGGTTTTGTTGAGGTTTCATTGTGTGCATCATTCCCTCTCCTTCTGAATTCTGCTCTCAAGAAGGCTGGGCTCTAGCAGATGGTGATGTAGGAGTGGAAGAAGCCTGGTACTTTCTAGGCAGATATTCCTGCACGCAGGAGCGCAGCTCCCCCTCCCTCATGGGGCTGTGCCGCAGGTCTTCCAAGCCTGGGGATGCCCAGAAAGGCAGCGAGCGCAGGAGAGCACCGCGGCAGTGTGGGGGGATGAGGAACGCCTCCTGGGGGCAGCAGGGGCTGGGGCGCTCGTTGCTTGACTGGCTCTGGCTTGGGAAGGTCTTGCACAGGGACCGCTCAAGAAACAACCGTGGTGACGTGAGGCGGACTCGCTCTGTCCTGCCGCCTCCAGCCCTTCGGAGGGGCCGCTGTGCTGCTCGGTCCTCCAGGCAAATGAGCTCAAGTGTAACTGGGGTGGGATTCCGAGGTAAAAGGCTGTTCCGTGTGGGACACGAGGCCTGTTCAGGGCATGAGCTGCTGGGAGAGCCCAACAGCTTCTTAGTTGCGGAGCTAAACAGCAGTACCTGCTTCTGTTACAGGGCAAGTGATTTTAAATCCTGTTCTCCCCTTGTAAGACAGGAGAACACGTACAATTCCTGTGTCAGCTCCTTAACTCTGCCCGTTAATTGGCTGTAACTCATTATCATAGGCAGGACATGGTGCAGAGCTTCCTCCAAGTGCTTTTTCTGCCAAGACTCTGGTCTGTTTCTCCCTTTCTCTGCTAGTTGGTTCATCCTGGACGCTCTTTCCTCCTTTGCCCCTCCTGCCTCCTTCTGGCTACAGGCTTCTGCCCCTGCACCGCCACCGGCCCAGCTCTCTCCCCAGCACAGCCAGGTCAGGATATTTCACAATCCTGCTGCACGAGTCTACTGGAGCTGGATCCCACAACAGCCTCCGCCCCTCCCCGTTAAAAGAACCACAGTTATACGCCTCTTGCCTATTTATACAATAAGCACTAAGGTTACACTTTATTTACAAGGTTTGAAAAATGTACAGTTTCTTACATGGGTTACTTGTGCAAAGTTAAACTTCTCAACTAACAGACCAATGTGCACACAAAAGACACTGGAACAGTGGACAACACAACCGTAGGTCTCATCCCACGCTGCTGCTGAAGGTACTGTATCCAAACGTACAAACTGAGCCTTACAAAAAAAAAATGAGTCTGGACTTACAAATGTTTGTTTGTTTTGGTTTTTTTTTTCCGAGTTGAAAACAATACTTCCATAAAACTGACTCAGGCATGCAGCAGTAGCTCGCACAAACCACCCAGTAATCTACACCGAGCAGAAACTGCAGAGGCTCGAGTGCCTGCCCCCTACTTTATTCCAACTTTCCACAAGGCAAAGTTGGATTCCAAAGAACTTCTCTTGCTCAGCTAAAGACCAGGGCAGGAGAAAGATGCTGAAGGAGAGCAATTCCACTGCTGGAACGCTTCAGGTTGTACCTCTTCCCTAACGAGGAAGGTCTTCCGCTCAGACTAGCACAGCTCTGCCTGTTCTGTCCAGTAATGAATGCCTCAGTGACAGGACCACAGAAACCTTAAGCAGTCGCTGCAGGCATGTCCTTTAAAATAAAATAAAATTTAAAAAAAAAAAAGAAGGGGTTGTTTCTCACCCGACGTAAAGATCGAAGTACCACAGCTGTAGTGATTTATGTATGTCTGTACATAAATCTTGCATGTGAAGTGCAGAAGTAACTGGCATTCCACGGTCTTACTAAATACTTGAATTGGAATCAATTTAAGAGGACTTTTTTGTTGTTGTTCATGTGTAAGGAGTTGATAAACCAATACAAAAGGGAAACAGGTTATTTCTTCACTCAGTACTTACAAATGCAGTGGGGTCTAAACCCATAGTAGAGGTAAATGACCAGCCTGGACACATCAGCACTTTAGTTAATACCAGTTAAAAAATGTGTATGTATATAAACATCCCTTTATCAAGCTACACATAAGCATCACTGTGTATAACACAATTACAATTAAAAGCTTAGTGTACACTACAGAAATGCACAATACTGCCCTAAGACTGGAGAGGGGCCACAGAAAATGAATTCAGCATCAGTAACTCTTTTGCAAGTAACCCAAGTACAGAACATTTGACTTCAAAGTGGGCGCTTTCTGATGTCCAAGGAGAAGAAGCTTCAGCAGGGGAGGGTGGCAACAGCACAACAGCTATTCTGCTTTCAAAGTAAATGCTAGGAGGAAAAAGATGACTCGGACACTTTGTTTATTTTCCTCATCAACAGAGTGTTCATTTGCATCATCCTGGGTCAACAGTCACGCCAGCTCTGTTCTACTATTGCAGAAACCCGTTTTTCATATTCCCGCTTATTCTCTTGGTATAGCTGGGCTGCCTGGCTGTTTGCTGGGCTGTTAGGGTTTGGCTCATCCAATAGAGACTGCGCAAAGAGAAAAAGATTCTTAGGCACGTGCAAGCAGGCATGGTTTTCCAACACCCCCCCTTAAACTAACCACGCTCCTAAGGGCGCGGAAGTCACGCTGGACGGAGGTACGGCACACGGCACCGCTCCTGTCCTCCGTGACCGGAGCTTTCGCTATCGGTCTGTGCTCGTGGCAGTGCAGGGACTGCCTGACCGCCAGCCAAGCAGTGCAGCCCCTGGATGGGTCCCTTCAGTGACCACCTGCTGTCACTGTCGAGTCAGTTTACATCTGGGAAGCATTCCCACTTGAGCAAGGATCAAGGCAGAGCTGCTATACTGGCTATCAGGAGCAAAAAAAAAACCCAAACCAAACGGTTTCCTGAGCTGGTTTTGCCAAAGCATCCTAATTTCATTCTGCCTTTCCATGCAGAGCTCTTTTTACCTGTATGGATGTTAAGATGGAGGAGACATCGTAAGTAGGACTCCAACGATTCTGAAGAATATCCAGACATATACTACCATCTGCATAGACTAGAAAAGGTTCAAGAAGAATGGCTTAAAACAGGAGTTGCACAGCTACTCAGTGTTTACTTAGTACTGCCTGATCCCGAAAACCTATGTACTGACAAACACCAGAGGCCAACAGCATCCAACAGACTTAAACCCAGCGAACAGGCCTGTAGGTAGGAAGAGGTGAAGCCTGTCACCGACAGCTCCCTGAGGTATTTAAACTCAACCCCCGCTTGTTCTTCAACATCAAGCGTCTCTGTGACACTGCAACTACCCCTATGGAACCAATGAAAAACCATGAATAGATTTTAAGGCAAAAAACTTTAAGCTACCCATAAGGGAACCAAATAAAGACCAAAAGCAAAAAGCTGTTTAGACAAAAGGTTGCCCCCGACGGTACCTACCTTCTGGGTACCTGGTCACCAGCCAGTGACCAGTCGAAGAACCCTCCCGCGGGGCACTTTACCCACCCATGCTCACTTGCGACGTTTCAAAGTTTCAGGTATTTCTTCACAACGGCAGGATTTGTTTGGAGGCAAGGGAAACATCTCCAACCTTTCATTACCAAGGAAGGGGATTAACTACATGCTGTTACTGGCTACCGCTGGGCACCAGCACCACATTTCAAAGTGTATCACGGGATTTTTGGGGAGTGCTAAGAGCTGCAGCCAGCAGTGCCATTACGCCACGTATGGGATACGGACAGACAGAAGTCCAAGGCGCTGCTATTTAAGTACAAAATACCCTTCTGCAAGGTGTAACAACAGGCAGCTGAGGAAGAAGCATCTCATCAATGCTGTGCTGTAACACCAGAAAGGTAAGAGGCTCCTTCTGTCACCCCTTTCATTTCAAGCCTGAGCACTACTCACAGTCATCTTTACCAAAACTACCCAGAACCACACTGGAATTTTGCTACCTTATTGGAAAGTGGAAACTTTTATAATAAACAGACTCTTTTCTACAGCCCTATAGCAAGCTATGATGTAAGACAAGGAAACCCAGAAGAGCAACAAAAGCCACTGTCTAAGTACTTACCATTTGGATGAAACATTTTAGAGACAAATCTAACAGTAGGCGGCTTATTCGGGTATTCTTCTGTGAATTCTATTGTAAGTTTGAAAGTTCCTGGAGTTGAAAGAGAGACAAGAAACCTTTACTCAGAATGAATTTACACAAGGGATGAGTAGTAGCATCCCTCCAGAAGCCCAGACTTGATACTGTTGTGCTCATACGTGCACACTGGATATGGAGCACAGATTGCTCAGTCCTACAACGATTCTTCTGCTCTCTCTGGAGTTAATTGTTAACTCTCAAGGCCTAGACAGCACCGGTACGGGAGCATCTCCTGTGACTTACCTCTATTGCCAAAACCACCACCCCAGTCAAAAGGTTTGTGTAAGGAAATAAATCTGCCCTTGAGGTTTTTTCTTCTGCAAAGCTTAATCCCAGTGCACTGTAAAAACACCGCAAGTGGGTGTATAACCATCTGTAACAGGCAATGATTTGGCAGTCCTAGAGACTGGAACATGCCATCACGACAAGGACCTTCTTACTTATTTCCTGTTTAAACTTCCAGAAAATACATTTGTATCAAAAACTGTAAGGTAACCAGCTCTTATTATAAAAAAGTATTAAAAGCAGCATCCAACCAGACACTTTAAAAGAAAAATCGGCTCGTTCACCTGACACTAACTAGCCTTCGTTTGAGAAAGGCTGAGCAAGCGGAAACACAGCTGTGCAGTGAAGTCCCAAGCCAATCGTTTCAACAGCCCGCACCAACATAAGTGATTTCAGCCCTTCTCCTCAGGCTATGACAATCTGAGAACAAGAAGTCTCTCAACCCAGCTGCATAAATATGGGTCCAGGGGACGAAGCACTGCTGGTGATTCAGATCAGTAACTAAGGAACTCCACGTACTCCACTTCAAAACATGCTTCTCTTTACCGTGCTACCGCCTCAGACCATAAACTGCCTCCCGGGTTGGTTGCAGTTCCTGGTATGCCCAGAAAGAAACATCTAAAGCACCTTCCTACACATGGAGAGCTCTCCTGTGAAAGGACCTTACAGTAACAGCTGTAGCGAGCTGCCAGGGCAGACGTTACCTTTTGGAAAAGGCTTTCTTACGTATCGGTGACACATTCCCCCCCCACAACGCTCCGTGCCCAAATTAAAACTCGGGGGCTCAGCTATAAAGCTCATCCTTGCTTCCTACTGCGAGGGAGTTTTCCAGCACTAATCTAGTTAATGTATTCCTTCATTTGGCTGGCAAACATGTGCCAACAGTTGGTGGCCAGAAAACAGATTTTTTCAGCCCCTTTTCCTTTCTTTCAGACCAGCACCTGCAGTATTTCCCAGGGACTCCTTCCTTTATAAGGACATAAACTGTAATGTTGAGTTGCAAGAAATGAAGGTCATTGCTTTGACGTTCCAGCTTGCACACAGCACAGATGCTTCAGAGCCTTCTGTACAACAGTGGGAAGTCTCCACATCCTAAAAATAAGTTTTTGCTCGTTTATTAGCAGCCTAACAACACACAAGCAGAGAGCCAGCAACATGCAATCTTACTGTAAAACCAAAGGAACAAGAGGAGTATAGTTAAGATTGTTCAAATTAGCAGAAGTCTGCAGCGGGGTTTCAAGCTCCAGCTAACCCAGAGGCACAGAGCCAGACCTGAGATCAGTTTGAGAGCCAGCATGGGAAAGTTAGCAACAACTTCTGCCAGCTGCAGGCATCGGCTCAGGACTACCTTTCGTTCCCACAATCCCAAGCAGTAGTGGTCCTTGAGCATCAAATGCTGAGAGATTTGTTTCTAAATCTCAGCGGTTCCCAGCTCTCCCTGCCCCAGTTCTGGTTCTCAGTAGCCTCCTTATGAGGCAGGAAAGCAGGCGCCTGGTTCTGTGGAAGAGTGACTAAGCAAGCAGTAGGCTGAAAACTGAGCAGAAACCACCAAACAGTAGAGTTCAACAAGCATACCGGAGAAAATGAACATTCTTCCAGAACACTGACTGAAGTGGGAGCAGAGGGGACAGACAAGATGTCCAGAAAGCAGTAACAAGAGCAGTTTGGTCTTAGAATCCATTTAAAACTGCTGAAAGGAAAGGAAGCTCGCTGTCCCACCAGGGACAGGACAGCATTACTTTTAACACAGCTCTGAGTGGTCAGACAGCTTCCAGCTGGACTATCTACCTACTCAAATTTCCAAGTCAAGACCCAGAGTGGCAATGGCTCTTTGAAAGAGCTCCACAGTACCCACTCGTTGTGGAGCTTTATTAAAGGACAAATCCAGAGATGAATCAAAGACCAAGGGTCATTCACACTGAAAGCCCACACAAGCACAACAGTACCACAACACACACTGCTGGGGACAAGGCCTTTTCAGTGTGCAGTCCCTTCTGTCACTAATTTTAAAGCTTTCAACCGGTATTCCTTGTAACTTACCCTAGACAGCCCATTTTAAAACATAAATTCTCATCTCCACTGTCAATATTGACATTAGGATCATCACCAATCTTAGGAGAACATCCTCTTCTCTCTCTCTCAAACTTACCTTGTTGATCTGTTTCTCCTACCCTGGTACATGAGACTCTCACAGCTAACAGGGAGGCTTCTCCATGACCTGCGCGCTGGCCTGAGTAACCGCTGCCAGAGCGGCACCCATGTCCCTGCTGGGCCCTTCTCGCTGCAAGGCACGAGTGCAGCCCCCTCTGTTCAACCAACCTCTTCCTCTCCCACCTCTTCCTCTCCCACATGCGGCAGAGAACTTGTATCCAGTAAGCAGGGAACAAACCACACCGAAGGCAAATGCCCTGCTTTCTCTGCTCAAGTCTCCCGCCCCATCACAGCAAGGCAGGATACACTACAATAGCCGTGTGTGCCTTAACTCTCTCCCAGCCAGGAAGGCTGCTCTAACCACAACATCATCACCTGGTTGCACAGAAACAGGTCTGAAGGACTGGGAGAGCCTGGCTTTCCATCATTGTGACAGCGCTACCACTTTACATGCCACACACACACAGAGATTCTGAGAAATATGGTGAAAGGCAGGATAAATATCCCCGAGGTCCTACTGCAGACACCTGCAATCAAATACTCTTAAACCAGAAGATGGAAGTTATGCTGCTGATCTAAATTAGTAGTTGCTGGTAGGCCAAGTCAGCCTGCGCACCGAGTTGTGAAAACACCCTCTAAAGTCTGGGGGTGGAGGGGAAGGGAGGGTTGTTAGCTGCATTATGCTGCACAGCAAGTAAACAAACATGTTTGAACTTAAGGTTTTCAGTTCAGACAAAGCAAAGAACCCTCAGAAGCTAAGACTGGAGAAAGACCTCACTAGAACAAGGATAAAGAACAGTAATTCTCATGATGTTGAAATTACTGATGTTCTAGTTCAAGGAAAAAATAAATTCACAGGCTACTTTCACAAGAACGAAGGTGTCCAAAGCCTTACAGTATCACCAGGAAGTGACAGAGCCTGAAAATGAAACTACAGAGTGACTTCTGAAGAACACTGCCCTGCAAAGGCTTCATGAGGAGGATTACAGAGCTCTGGTGTGCCTTTGACTCACAAGGGCCTGCACAGTTACAAAGCAAGCCCCAACCAACAGCTCAATACTGCCAAATAAAGATTCCCTTAATTTTACCTACATGAAGCTCAACTGCATCTGAACTGTGCTACTCTACTCACTAAATGGAAAAGCACAGCCGAGGCACCAAGACACCCGTATCTCCAGGCACCACTTAGTATTTGTTATCTGGCACAATGTAAGATATGTCCCAGAGAGAAGGAGATAAGCATATCCTGCAACACAAGACCTATCTGTTTTCCTAAGCGCATACTGTGAAAACACACACTTTGCTATGAAAAGCGCAATCCATCACACCCCAGGATGATATTATTGCATCAACGACAGCAGCAGGACAGCAGCAGCAGACTCAAGCATCTGTTTGAGCTTCAAACCGCTGCGAGTGCAACACGTCCTAAGTATCTGAGATAGAGACACAATGCTGCCACAGCAGAAAGCACAGAGGAAATCAATATGTCAGGGCTCTCGAAAGCAGGCTCCAACCTTCTGCAGCTAAATGGAATATGGGGGGGCAGGAAGGCCCTTATAGCATCTGTTAACCCCACACTGAGCTGGAAAAGCCTGAACGTGGAAACAACCTGCACTTTAGCACACTGCAAGGAGACAGCTTTCTGCTCCAGCGAATCACTCTGTTAGTTGCACCGCACCAAGAACCTAAGCAGCTCCAGCAACCCTCACAGAAGTTTAAGGGAGCCCTTCTTTAAGGCTTACAAGATAACATAATACATTTAGTCCATCTGTTGTTCAATGTTACGGAATACTCGAGTTCTAAATATTAGACTTCTGAAGCAGCTACTAGAGCAAGTTATTAACCAATCAAATACATTAAAAAAAAGTAACTGGAGTCTTTGGAGTTTTCTTAGGCTTGAACTGTTTAAAATCTCCACAGGAAAAAAAATAAGTCTGCAATTTACAGGCATGCCCACAGGTGCTACCTCCGAGGATAAACAGAGACAAAAGACTTAGCCAAGAACAACATAAGAGTTAAGGAATTTTTCCTATGCTTTTGTCATGAGTCATGGAGATCTAGGATTAATTATAGCCTGCACTGAAAGTATCTTAAAAAAAAGCATCACTGATTTCAGTTAGACAGTATTTCATGTCTAACAAGTTTTCACAAAGATGCTGAAGTATTCACACAGCACCAGTAAAGCTATAAAAGACAATAAGGCCAGATGGAAACTATGAGGACACGGGTATGTTACAAGGACCTATTTAGTCAGCTTTTAAAGTTTAAAAGCCCTTTTAATCTTTAACCCTGAATTATACTGATTGTAGTAGAGTGAAGTAGATACCAAGAAAAAAACCCTAAAAAAAAAATAAAAATCTGTTCTGAACTCGCTCAAACATTCAGCCCATGTCCTACTTCAGCTGCCTCACATTGGGACTTACTGCTAAACATTTCCAGCATTAGAAAAACCAAAACTCAAAACAAATGACAAGAGTTCTATACCAGGTTTTTGCCAGTTCTGCAAATATAAGCATCCCTAAAAACAGGACCCAGGGTTCAACAGAAAAGCTTAAAGATCCTTAAAAGGGTACATTAAGTCAG